ACACGCTCTGTGTCAGCCTTTTTAATTTAATAAATTTGTATTTTTGGAGCCTTGGTGTTGCCGCCTTTGATTTACATTTAATTTGCACCTTTTGCGGTTTTGGCTGAGCACCCAATTAAGAGAGATGTGTGTGCTTTTGTACAGTTTTTTCATTTTTTTTTGACATGACTATTGAAACTCAGATCTGACTCTAGAGTCACACCAAGATTATTGACCTTATTTTTTGTTGTTTTACCTTTAGTGCCAAGGTATAAATTCACCTTGAGAACCTCATCTCTGTTCCCAAAAGCAATGACTTCAGTTTGCTCTTTGTTTAACTGAAGAAAGTTTTGGCACATACAACTGTTAATTTCATCAATGCACTGGCAGAGGGTGTCAATGGGGCTGTAGTCATCAGGCAGTAAGGCTAGGTAGATCTGAGTGTCATCAGCATAGCTGTGGTAGGAGATTTGGTTCTTTCTCATTATTTGGCTCAGAGGAAGCATATGAAGGTTGAACAGTAGATGTGCCAGAATTGGGCCTTGTGGGACTCTACATGTAGTAGGTGTCCACCTTGACCTATGGTTACCTATACTGACATAGTAACCTCTCCCTTCAAGGTAAAGCCTGGTTTATACTTCTGCGTCAAGTGACCGGCGTAACCAGCGGCGCATGCAACGCGCATAGCTGTGCATTTATACTTCTGCGCGCTGTCTCTGTTGGTCTGCATTAACACTTCCAAAACGCTAGTTGGCAGTGAGGTGTTAATGTGTCTTTGTGTCGAGTTTCTTCGCCTGTGTTTTGTTCTTTCTGAACGCTTCCGGGATGTATAAGTGGCTCAAACTAGCTCATTTTGAGGCAGGAACAAGCGGACAAGTAACAACTTTAACTACGAGCTTAACACAAAACAAAACTTTCCATCAGGAGCTCCTTCACGGGATTCCACACTTGTAAACAATTGCTCCATTGGGCTCGCGCCACTCGCACGGCTCTCGGTCCCGTCCAGACTTGTCAGCACTACCAGGCCGACCAATCACAGAGCTTGCGCTACGCGTCGTTGCGACGTGTTGTTAAATTTTTTGAGAGGTGCACGTCAGCGACGCAGACGGACACAGCGTAAGGCTATGCGTCAGTGCCGTAGCATACGCGTGCGCTTGATGCAGAAGTATAAATCAGCCCAACCCAGTTTTTCAGCCTATCCAGAAGTATGCTGTGATCGACAGTGTCAAATGCAGCACTGAGATCGAGTAATACCAGCACTGATAGTTTGCCTGAATCTGTATTCAGGCGGATATCATTGATTATCTTTATTCAAGCGTTCTCTGTACTGTGTAATTTGTATCCAGGAAAAGGACATGCTTTGCAACAGCTCATCCCACTTTTAAATACATTTTTTTACATGTTTGTGTTACACGTCCCTACTGAAAAATCAAGCTTAAACCAGCCTAGGCTGGTT